AAGGTGGAAGCCGCCAACAAAGTGAGTGTCCCCCTTGCTAGCAGGGTGAAAAACAGGGTAAAAACCCCACAAAACTGCTGATAAACCTCCCCTGCCGCAGAGCAGGGCCTGGCGGGTGGGAACGAAACTTCCCTGCTTGTTTTTCCAATGTGCCTTTTGGTTTCTTCCAGCTCGAAGATCCCCTCGAAGCTTTCCCAGTTTTCAAGAAATACGACCGGAACGGGTGAGTGTTGCCCATCGCGGTGTCACCGAAGCTGTTCCCGGCGCCGCCGGCGTATCCCCGGTGCCGACGCCGTTTCCCTCCCGGCATCTCCCGCAGTTTGAACGTCGCCATCGAGTGCAAGCGCGTCTCCGGGCTGGAGCCCACCACCCTCGAGTGGGCCTTCGAGCTGACCAAGGCCAACATGCAGACACTGTGAGTCGTGCTTCGCCACCGGCAAAGCTGCCCATCAACGCGGCACAACCGCAATGCCAAGATCCTGGCACTGCGCTGGGAGGGCTCACGGGTGCTCCATCCTCTCGCCGGTCTCTGGGGGGAAACCCTTGCTGGCTGTGATCCCAAATCGGGGGTGGGGGTGTGTTTTTTGCTCCCCCAAATCATTGCGGGGGGTGTGTTTTTCGGGGCCCCAAAATCATTGGGGTGGGTTTTTTGTGCCCCAAGATCATGGAGCTTCCCCCTCCCCCCCATATTGTGGAGGAGTTTTTTGTCCCAAAATTGTTGGGTTTTGGGTTTTGTCCCCCAGAGTGGTTGGGTGGGAGTGTTTTTTGCTCTCCCCCCGAGATTGTTGGGGGTGGGCTTTTGCCCCCCCAGTCGCTGGGGTTTGGGGATCTTTTGCCCCCCCAGTCACTGGGGTTTGGGGATCTTTTGCCCCCCCAGTCGCTGGGGTTTGGGGATCTTTTGCCCCCCCAAATCATTGTGAAGACTTTGCCTCCCAACCATTGGTGGATTTTGCCCCCAAATCCTTGTTTTTCACCCCAAATGGGCAGGTACGAGCAGAGCGAGTGGGGCTGGAAGGAACGGGAGAAGCGGGAGGAGCTGCGGGACGACCGGGCCTGGTACCTGATTGCCCGCGAGTCTGGTGCCGGCCCTGTCGCCTTCTCCCACTTCCGCTTTGATGTCGAGTGTGGCGACGAGGTCCTCTACTGGTGGGTATCCCCAAAAATGGGGTAAAAAAAAACCAAAAAAGGGTCTCCCCCACTTTATAACACGGCATGTGGTGGTTTTATCCCTGCAGCTACGAGGTGCAGCTGGAGAGCAGGGTCCGGCGGCGAGGACTAGGCAAGTTCCTCCTACAGATCCTCCAGCTGGTGGCCAACAGGTGACAACCGATAGCTTTTCTGGGGGAAAAACAGCCGGTTTTGGGGCTGCTGACCCCTCACTGAGCCCCCACTCTATGTTTCCCCCCCCACCCCACTCAGTACACAGATGAAGAAGGTGATGCTGACTGTCTTTAA